TGAAAATTTGATCATTTCTCTCAAACGGTGCATAATAATTCAATGCTTCTTTTTATGTTTGAAAATAAACTCATTGTGGAGTGTTCAGGATTTTTTAAAGATTTTTTGAACATTAAAGGCTATTTTATTTGAATTTTTGAAATAAGTCTATGAGCTATTGCCGTTGACAAATAATTTTGTCTTTTACAAATGCCAATGTCTCTTTGGTGTTTTGGCCTATAAAAGTAGCATAAGTTGAAGAGAGAAGTACACAATAACAAACTCTCAAAGTCTCATCAATTTCTCTTTAAAATTCTTTGTACTACATTATTTATTTTTAGATCAAAGAGTGCATATAACAAATTATTTTATTATTAAGAGCACTTTTTTGAAGTGAGATTATTTTTATACATGAGTGGTAGCTAATCCTACTTAAGAGAAATTGATGCATTTCTATTTCATTTTCATTACCATTTGTATTGGTGTTTAAAACTCATTGAATCAAAAGTTTTGTAATCGAGATTTCTTGTCTTCGTTAGTAGAACCTCAATCGACTGATGTTCGAGAGAGTGGACGTAGATTTAGGTATAAATTCGAGCCACTATAAAAGAGTTATATCTCTTATTTCTACTCTATTTACTTTACTTAATATTGTTTTATATTTATTATTGGTGAATTGTATAAGTTTATTTATTTTAATATTTTTGTTATTACTTTTAATTTTTCACACTTTTAACTTCTACGATTAAAAAAAACTCAATTCACGCCCCTTCTTAGGTTACCTTTTGAGACAATAGACAATTATCTATGAAAAATTCTTTCCTACAATCTATCAAGACTGAATCTTCCAACTAAATTCACAAATTTAACGTGATAATAGATCCAATTAAATTTAGAGATTTAATATGATAATATATAGAAGTTTGAGGTTATACAAAGAGACTCAAATTCGAAATTAGTGAAAGCGTTAAAAGCTCTCCACAATTACATGAATGTAGAACATATATGGGTCAAGATAGCACGGTTCTCGCCAATTTTGAGACATTCAAAAGGGGAGAAGTTATATTTCAAGCCTATTCGAAATATATATGTGAAAATAACAATAAGAAAATAACTATAAAGAAAAAGCGAAGTTTAATTCTGAAAAAAAAAAAAGAATGACTTGTTTGGCAAGGTTCTTAAGAAGTGTTTTTAAGTTCCACAATTATTTTTAAATATTTTTTTGGTAATTTAGTAATAGAAAATAAAAATATTTTTATTAACTTTTAAAAAGAAATTATTTGGAAGTAATTCTTGAACTTCGCATTATATTTTTATTTTTCATATAAATTATTTATTACATACTATATTATAATAATATTTACGCACGTGCAAGTGTATATAAATAAATGTATGTCTTTGTATTTGTTTGTGTACAAACATATACACACAAATACATACATACATATATACTTACGCATACATATATATGTATATACTCTTAAATGGAAAAATAAAATTAATCAAACAATTTATTTAATAATTATTAAATGCCAATAAATTAAACCAAACTTTTAATTTGTACAATCCTATCCAAGGTCGTGACTAGTTCCTCTCTCCATCTCTTTCAAATTCTCTGCGGTTCAGTTCAGATATCTCCCTCTTGGCCAAGGTATAGTCTTCTTTTCGTGCCAACGGGAGTCTAAAAGAATTGCACCCAGCTCAATTTGAAGAAAAATCAAAAGCAGAGTCCGAATCTTCTTCTAAACAATGAAATATGCATCCATGCTTTCTAGCAAAAAATGTGACTCTGCACTTGCGCAATCAGATTCTTTTTTAACATGTAAAAATGTATTTGTCAACAATTTTTATCCATTTTTTTCTCAAAAATTAAAAAAACCCATCTCCCTATCTCCCCCTCCCTCTCTCTTTTCTTTTCTTTTCTTTTCTTTTTAAATATTTTTAATTATCCATCCCAAATAAGGATATGAATGCTAAGTAATGAAAATGTTTACGAATGGCTTAAAAGTCTCTTTCCAATTAATAGTTCGTGTAGAAAGAAGATGCCTTGCTCGCCAGCTGGCAACTTGGCCAGAAGTGCTATCTTCACTGTCTCTTGGTGTGGAAAGTAGCATTGCCAACACGCAACCCGCCTTTTCTCCAACTAATGTGTTGAAAATCCATTCAAACTCGGACCGTTCTTATTCAAACTCAATTGACCCAGACTCCGGTGCCCTCCCAAAAAGGGTCCCGGAACAATCTACCAATTAGTTAGAAATTGATTAAAGTCAAAAAAATAATTTAATTTGACTTTTAGTATGTTAAATAAATTAATTTGACTTGGTTACAAATTTCTCTCAGAAAATAATCCAATTCAACCAAACAAGTTACATATATAATTTATTTTATTATTATTATTATTATTATTATTATTATTATTATTATCACTAACTTTCTTGGAAGCTTTTTTATTTAATATAATTATATATTTATTTAATATATATATTATTATACTCTATTGTGAGTTTTTTTTGTTATTAAATAAGTAGAATTTAATTAATAATATTTAAAAATTGAATCAAAATCGAACAAATTAAACTGAAGCAAGTCATTGTAATCATGTATGATTTGATGTAATTTTGAAGTATATTAAAAATCAATCATGTTTATATTTGTTCAAAACTGACTTGTACAATTTAATTTAGAAAAGATTCAAAATTGAATTGGAGCAAACATATGAATATCCTTACCTCCAACTTTCTTTCTCTTTTTGCATAGTCTCCTCATGTCAACTACTCGTATATTTGTAAATTGTTTTAAAAAATTTAAATTCAGAAATTTAATGTGATAATATTTAGAAATTTGTGATTATTTACTAAAAAATAAAAAACTCAAATTTCAAATTAGAAAAAGTGTTAAAAGCTCTCTATGGTGATATGAAGGTGGAACATATGTGAGTCAAGACAGCGTGGTTCTCGTCAAATTTGAGACATTCAAAGGGGGAGATGTTATATTTCAAGGCTATTCGAAATATATCTATGAAAATAACTATCAAGAACATAAACATCAAATAACTAAATTATTATTTTATATTTGGCATAAAGTATAAAAAATAAGTTTACTAAAATTAATTAAGGAATGACTGGGGCCCTTTTTGGCACAGAAAAACTGCTTATGTAGATATTGCACCAACATGATCACCATTACCAAAAGAAAAAAGGAAATAGAAAGGAAAGGAAAGAATTAAAAGCGTGACCTTCTTCTCTACGCCAAAAATACTTTTCAACCTTCAACCATTAATATATTATTTCATTGATTAAATCTAATAATGGAAAAAAACTATATTTATAAGTCATGCCAACAAGTTTCCATCTACATTTGCTGCACCCTAAATAAACCAAAAAGAAAAAGAAGTATATATTATATAGAAAAGAAAACTGATGTACATCCTCAATTGTAACTAGCTGCAATTTGTAGTTTAACAAGATAATGTTTAGTAAACACGGCAATATGATTAATGACTAGTAGACTTGAGGGCTAATGGGGGTCTCATACATCAGAATATTGACTTCTGCTACAAATATGAAGACTTTTTTATATGTATAAACAAATTTGGAACAAATACCGACGAAAATTTTTGCCTCCCAATCGATCAAGACCGAGACTTCGAACTTACAAATGGGACCATCTACTTCTCACGTGATCTGGACCACTGTTATTTGTTTGACTTGGGTGGTTAGCATATATGCTTATCTTCTTCCAACATTTCCAGCATTCCTCCTTGCCTCTGCTTCAGCTTTTCCAAGCAATGGAGAAACACCGACGAACACCACTCTTGCTATCTTTATTTCCCATAATCCTCTTTCTCCAATCCACAATTGCAGTTGAATTTCTCTTCAATGGCTTTGATCCTTCAAATGTTTCACTCTATGGCAATGCCACCATCGAGTCCAGAATTATAACTCTTACCAATCTCACAACTGTATCAATCGGCCGGGCTATGTACCCATCAAGAATCCCCACAAAGGATTCAAGTTCATTGTCCACGCTTCCTTTCTCCACCTCCTTCATCTTTTCCATAGCTAAGTGCAAAGGTTTGCCCCCTGGCCATGGTATGGTCTTCTTCTTTGCATCCAGTGCCGGCCTCGATCTTCATCAAGTCAGGCCGGCTCAACACCTTGGCCTCCTCAACTACACTAACAATGGTGATCCCAACAACCATGTCTTCGGAATTGAGTTTGATGTGTTTGATAATCCGGAGTTCAATGATATAAGCGACAACCATGTCGGTATTGATGTGAATTCTTTAAAGTCAATCATGTCGCAGGAGGCCGGTTACTATACTGATGAGAAATTCTTCAAAAGGCTAAAGTTGAACAGCGGCAAGAACTACCAAGTTTGGATTGACTATGCAAATCATCTCGTTAATGTTACCTTGGCTCCGGTTGGATTAAAAAGGCCTACTAGGCCGCTTCTAAGTGGTCCTCTTGATCTCTCTCGAGTTCTCAAAGAGGAGATGTACGTGGGCTTCACTGCATCAACCGGGAGGCTGGTTCAGAGCCACAGGATCTTGGCTTGGAGCTTTAGTAATTCAAATTTTTCATTAAGCGAGGCATTGGTCACCACGGGTTTGCCATCGTTTGAACCACCAAAGGTTCATTTTTTCCAATCAAGAGGTTTTGTTGTCGGTTCAATTGTTGGAGTTATCTCTATTCTAGTTACTTTTTTAATTATTTATTTGGCTGTAATGAAGAGGAAGAGGAGGATAGCGAGGGAGAGAGAGGATATGGAGGAGTGGGAATTACAGTATTGGCCTCATCGGATAAGTTTTCAAGAAATTGAGGCTGCAACAAAGGGCTTTTCTGAAGAGAATGTGATTGGAATCGGGGGTAATGGGAAGGTCTACAAAGGGTATTGGCGGGAGGGGAAGAGGTTGCAGTGAAACGCATTTTACATTTAAACAGTGATGGAATCAAAGAGTTCTTGGCTGAAATTACGAGCCTTGGAAGGCTAAAGCACAAGAGTTTGTTGTGTTTGAAAGGATGGTGCAAGAAGGAGAAAGGGGCTTGATTTTGGTGTATGACTACATGGAAAATGGGAGCTTGGATAGGAGGATTTTTGATTGTGAAGATAGCAAAATGTTAAGCTGTGAAGATAGAATAAGAGTCTTAACAGAAGTGGCTTTAGGGATCTTCTACTTGCATGAGGGATGGGAAGCCAAAGTTATACATAGGGATATTAAGGCTAGCAATATCCTACTAGACAAAGAAATGAATGGAAGACTGGGGGACTTTGGGCTCGCCCGAGTCTATGGCCCCGGACAAGTGGCTAGCACAACAAAGGTGGTCGGGACTGTGGGGTATCTAGCACCTGAGGTGATCAAGAGTGGTCAGGCATCAACACAAACCGATGTGTTTGGATTTGGCATCTTGGTTTTGGAGGTCATGTGTGGGAGGAGGCCAATTGAGGAAGGGAAGCCATATCTGGTAAGTTGGGTGTGGGAATTGATGGAGCAAGGGAAAATAGTTTATGCGCTTGATGAGAGACTAAGGGCTACAGGAGGATTCGATGAGGAACAAGTGGAGATGGTTTTACAATTGGGTTTGTTGTGTGCACATCCAGAGGCACATGCTAGGCCCACAATGAGACATGTTTTAACAGTTTTGGAGGGGAAGAAAGAGACAGTTGATGAGCCTGAAAATGAGAACATGGGCATCCACTTACTTGAGGAGATGAAGTCTAGGGAGATATGGTTTAATAGTGCGGGTGGTGGTTCATACTTGACATTTGAACAATTTAGACAATCTTTCTCATCTTCAATTTCCCTTGCTCATTGGAGTAATTCAACTATGGAAGCCAGGTGATTATGTATGAGTAATATGGAGCAGGGTTTTTGCTAGGTTTACTAATTTTGTTGCACTCTCTTCCAAAATTACATATTCGGTATGCTCTGAGACAGCCATTTTCCCCTTCTTTCTTTGATTTTGTTTCTCTTTTTTTTTTTTTTTTTGGTTCAAAGCATTTGTATTTATTTCAAGTTTTTTCCCCTATTGTTTGTGGTATTTATGTAATTTCATATTTTCTACCCCGTTAGAAGTGTATAAACTAAGACTGACATTTTTATCTTGGAAAATTCCTTGTTATTCTCTGAGGGATGGTCTTGTTAACTTAACTTTCGGAGACTCTTCGGTGTAAAAACAGATATTACCCAACATGTGCTATCGACAATGTTTTACATAAGATAGGAAAAGGAAACATGATTTCTAACGTTCACTGGAAGAGCACAAGTTGTCTACAGAGACGGGACATCCTTCTACTGATTCACAACCAAACATGCAGTCTTGTCTTCCGTGAGAGTCCACTCCCAACATACAAGAGAGGAATCTGACCATTAGCTGTTTCGTTCCCATGCAGCCCAGTATGGCTGTCAGTGGTTGATTCAGATTTTATATGAGCCGCTCAAACTGTTTGGCTTTGAATATTTGGATCTTAAACCCGTCGGGCTAACTCCCGAATCCAATTCACAAAAATTTAATTACTAGTTGATGGAGCTTAAATGTAGACTTGGACGTACTTAATTATATTTGGATTGGGTCCAAGTCCGAATGTCATTGATCAGTTATGGATGTGGACATGTTAAATATAACGTCAATCTGTTTAGTCCAAAGGTGAATAGAATCATCTCAATTGTCTATAATTCAAAGATGGGTTTCTATCTCCTAAGAAAATTCTAATTTACCTCTTTTTCTCCGGTAGGAAAGGATAAGCCTAGAATTTGGAATAAGATTGTACAATATTATTTGATTGAAATGGAAGTAATTCCTCCAGCATATTAACATTGCACGAGCACAACATCATTAAGATTTAAACATAGTTCCTATAGTTTTATTCCTTATAAATAATTCTAATTTTTTAAAATAATCTTATATATAAAATGGGGATGAATTACACATTTTGTCCCTATAATTTTATTCCTATTTATTTTAGCTCTTCGTAGTTTTAAACAAGTCCCAAAATTTTATATTTGTTCCATGCCAATTCCGAATACTTGATAATGTTAGGACTAGTGATCGTGGGACCAAATTGAAACTAAGATAAAAATGTAAAAAAAATTGAACTTTCGCTCTTAATTAATTTTTGAATATGACTATTAAGATTTAAAAAAAAATGAAAATTTTAAAAATAATATAGTAATATCTACCTCTCAACTTCACAACTTCCTCAATTGGCCAAGCTCCATACTGGCCAAGAATCCACACAGCGGATCCAAGTTCATCGTCTACTTCTTTTCTCTGTCTCTTCATATTCTCCATGACTTGGTTCATAGTATTCCCTCTTGGCCAAGGTGTCATCCACAACTTGCTTTCTTCCGACTCCCTTTGTCCTCTTACGAAGTCTTCTTATGTTAACTATGACCCCATTCGGTTAGGGAGATAAAAAAGACAAGATAAAATAAAGTTATCGTGCCTTATCCTTTTTTTTTTTTTTATCACTTATTCAATAACTTTGTAAAAGATCAGGATAAAAATTCTAGACAGTTGCCCATATTTGCCTTATCTAGTTAAAAGGGGATAGATTTATCAGGCATATTGGCTAAGATAAAATCTATCAAGTTTTTATTGTGATTTTTTTTTGGGACCCTTTTTCCTTCGTTCTCTGTTATCTATTAGACTCAACACCGCTCTCAAGTCCTCACCTTGATGGCTACTGTCTTCTTCTTTCTTCATCTAATCTAGTCAAGACTGCTATCCCGTCTTCTTTTTCTTTCACTCAGTTTAGTTGAGACCTCTTATGCGATCTCACGCTTGATCTTTTGCGATTGACATTCTCGAGCATAACCTCATGTAGATCAAGCTTCTTGGCCATGATGTCATGTAGATCGACCTACTTGGCCACAATCTCGCGTATATTAATGTCACGACCCAAACCCAAGCCGTGGCTAGCATTAGGGTCCAACAACCCTAGTAAGCCTTACAACCAAGCATACCAACAGTACAAGTCACATCACAAAACATAACTCAAACTCCTCATACACAAAACTAGAATCCTATCTAAGAAAAGTAAATGAGCAGTCTAGAGTACAAAATGATAATAAAATAAAGCATGCTTGTACATCTATCGAATCGGCAGGGATTAGCTTTGACACCAATTCTAGTTGGCATGTGAAAAGTTAACCCGATCTGGAAAGATAATAAAAAGTGAGTCGCTACACTCAATGAGTAACAAATGGTACCTATTCTAGCTATGTTGGGATAAGTACTACAACATATACCAAAATATATATATATATATATACACACACATAGTGAGCTGTACAAGTACATCAAAACATATATATGAGAGTATCATCATATACAGTCATTATATCTCATAACAGAGCGTATCATGCTTGAGGCACCATAACTTCACACTGGACTTAGGGCACTTGTTACTAGATGCTACAGATCACCATCCTTTAGTATAAGCCTTTAACTTTCCAATCTCTCACGAGTCACGACAGTGCACATTATATTTGAGGTACCATAGTCTCATACTAGACTCAGGGCACTCGCCATTGAATGCTACAAATCACCGTCCCTCAATGTGAGCCCTTTGTGTCCCATCTCATCACATGATACAACTCTCCACATATTTATAGAAAACATTTCACATATATACATATACAGTTCATATATCAACATAAGGGTGTTAAAACATGTGATATCAAAGTCATTGTAATTTTGAACACATCAATATATATCCCAATAATTTTGCATATAATTAAAATACAGTTTATGCATCAAAAATAGTATCCATGTCATAAATCGCAATTAGAAAACACATGTATAGAAAATGTATCATTACTCATAGATCAAAGCTGAGTCAAAACCCGAGGTGCTTGCCACGACTCAACGGTCACCCTATGTCTCTACTTTTGTATCTACAATCACAATAGTATACAATCAAAACCAACACTTGAACCATCATAATAAAGGACTCGGCCACCCAAAATCTGGCTCTAAACCCATTTCAAAACCCTTACACGCATCCCAAGGCTTGTTCCCATCACCCAAAACCCATACACTCAAGACACACATGTCCATTTCTCTAAAAAATCCTTAAACCATGATTAACCAATCTCTAAAACCCTTGAACTGGCCTTAAACTCCCTTAAATTGGCTTGAACTAGCCATGAACACCTCAAAACCGAACTTAACTAGCCTCAATTACTCCATAACCAGACTGAACCGATCTCAAAACCCTTAAACCAAACCAAACCAAGTCAATTGCACACGAAACTAGCTTAAATAGTATTGAACTAGCCGATTTTCTGATGAACCAGACTTCTTAGAAGTGTGAACCTGTCTAACCTTCTTGGAACTGGTCAAAATTCCCATTAGATCGGCTAATTTCTCACTGAATCGGCCCTTGAGCCGTTTTTGCCATTAATTAGGAATCTTGGATACCTTATCCCAGCCTTGATTATCTTATTCCAATTTCATTCTATTTTACCCCTAGGATAGCATATTCTAGAATCAATCTGCCTAGTTGACTCGCTGAGTCAACTCACAAATTTTGGCCACTAGGTTGAGTCAACCCATTGAGTTGACTCGTCCATAACTTAGCCCAACCACCTTGGGCCGGCCCAACTGCCATGGCCCAAGCCCACTGGCCCAGCCCAGGATTAACCGACCCAACCCAACAAGTCTGGCCTAGCCCAATCCAAGCCCAGCTTGGATGAGTTGACTCGGTGAGTCAAGTCAACTCGGCCGAGCCAACTCAGCATTGACCAGATACATCCAGGTTTGTCTTCCTCACTCAGCAACCCGATTGCCCCAACCCATTCTTTGCAACAAAACCCGAATCATAAAATCTAGAAATTTCATGGCTTTTCAGACATACCTCGATCAATCAATGGCCAAAGCTTGTAGATCTGGACTAGGCGAACCACTCTATGACCTTTAATTGGAACAAAATCAATCAAATAGCTCTAAAATTACAAAAAATCTCCCTTGGTCGTCCGTGAACTCGTCAACCACCACAACTCAAATTTCTTTCAAATCCTCTCTCCAAACTTGAAAATGTTCGAGGGAAACACTCAATGGTCTAAGTTGCATACCAAAACCAAATTTTTAGCCAAAAATCAGCTACCATGATCATGGTATAGCCTCCCTATTATTCAGTCCATTGTTAGACCAAACCTGTAGGTGTTGTTCTCAATCCAGTCCTTAACTTTAATTTCTTTCAATCTCACCCCTTGCAATTCAAATTGAGTCCTTGTAATTTCCTGCCTTTTACACTTTGTCCCTGCATCTTTTATTTCTTTCAATTTCACCCCAACAGTTTCAATTTGTACCCCAAACTCTTTGATTTCCCAAATTAACTCCCAATCCTTGTAATTTCTTCAATTCCCCCTTCTGGATTTACGATTTGACCCCACTTTTTTCAATTTAAGCAATTAAGCCCCTAAACTTAATTAATAACCAAAAATTTAAAAATTTGATTAAATTGGGTCATTACAATCATTGTTCTCCAAGTCATTGTTTCTAGGTTTATCTCGCATAGGCATTTGGGGGATCTCACGCGCACATTTGGGGAAAATTTCTTGTCAATTTATAGATTTGGGAAAGCTTCCACATTTTAGTCGATCGTCATTATCCAAGTTACTATCCAATCTAGTCGAGAAATGGGTTGGGCAGCTGGAATCTCAGTTTCAGTTTCAGTCGACAAGTGGCTTTAGAGATATTTTGGTAATTTATTTTTATATCATGTTTGTTTCCAACAATAAAAGTAAAAATTATCAAACGAGGGATAAAAAGAAAGGAGGATAAAATTGCTGCGCAAATAAGCCCTCCTTATATTGTGAAGACAATCGAGTGAGGCC